CCCTGAGATTATATTCAAGGCTCTTTAGGAGAATGAGACCCATCATTGTTACTGGTATTTGGCATATTGGGTACGCCACGGGGAGTTTGCCAGACTCTGCCGTGTGGGCGGGCTACATTCGGTAGCCTGCCAGTTTGTCCAGTCTCCTGCCCCCGCGCCTGGCTGTCCTCGCCGGGGCCCCTTGGAGGGGAGCGGGTTGAGTTTTTCCTCCCCGCCCCGACCAGGGCTCCGGCAGCCGAAGACCTCCAGGACCAGCCACCACCATGCTGAGACCACTCTCCGCACACATGAAGGTACTGGCAGAGGGACAAAGCCACGCGGGTTCCAGGGCCGAGATCTCCAGGCCTACTCGGATTGGGGCTGGGCATCCTCCACCCAGATCCTCCAAATTCCAGTAGGCGGGGGTCACACCCACCAACTGGCCCCCTGGCGCTGTGTAAGCTCTGTGCTCCTGCTAAATTTCTGGTAGGCCTCAGAGGACATTATGCAGAGCCAGGGACTAAATGCAAGATTTAGGGAAACCTATGGGAAACAATGCAGACAAAATACTATTTCCGTGAGATATAGTACAGCGTATCTGCTGTACTATACCTCCAGCAGATATATATATATATACATTTCTCGTTCTTTGGTGTTTTGTTTCCTATAGTTTCTTATACTTTTACCATGATAATTCTACTGCTTTTTCTTCTCTTTTTCATTCCTTTTCTTTCTTTCATTCATTCTTCCTTATCTTTCTTTACTCTTCATTTCTCTCCTTCCTCCTTCCTTCCTTTCTTCCTTCCCCCTTCCTCCCTTCCTTCTTTCCTTCCTTTCTTCTTTCTTCCTCCTTTCTTCCTTCCGGCTTTCCTTCCTTCTTCTTTCCTTCCTCCCTTTCTGTCTTCCTCCATTCCTCCCTTCCTTCTCCCCTTCCTTCCTTCCTCCCTTCTTCCCTTCCTTCCTTCCTTCCTTCCTTCCTTCCTTCCTTCCTTCCTTCCTCCTTCCTTCCTTTCTTCCTCCTTCCCCCCTCCTTCTTTCCTTCCTTCTTTCCTCAAGAAACCAAACGCAAACTTTACAATGTACAAGGTGAGCACTCTCCCACTGAGAGACATCCCCTCTACCCTACTTGTTTCTTAGTAAAAATTCATGCATAAAAATTTAGTGTCCAATTGTAGATGTCACTTAAAAACAAAAAACTTCCATTTTATGGCTGAGGAAAACAATCCAGTTGTCCACAGGAAAGTCCACTGTCTCAAAGGACACTGCAAATGCTGCAGATCCCCAGTGACCCAGCAGAATCATCTTTCATTGATTAATTGACTCATTTATTTATTAAAAGAAAAGAAGGGGCAAAGAGGTTAAGCAGGCAGGTGCCTTTAATATGCAAGGCCTTGCGTTTCACTCCAGTTACTGCCACGTGTCCAGCAGCCTCACAGTTCCAAGTGCAATCCCTGAAGCCCAGGCACTGCAGGGCTGAAAACTGCACCATCCTGTCCAGTGGACCGAGTTTTGTCAGGAAAGGCATTCAGACCTTCTGAGCATGGCTGGGAGGAACCCCAGGAAAGAAGAGAAGGAGGGAAGGAGGGAGGAAGCAAAGGAGCGAGGGAGGGAGGGAAGAAGGGAGGGAGGGAGGAAGGGAGGGAGGGAAGGAGGGAAGGAGGGAGGGAAGGAGAAAAGGAGGGAGGGAAGGAGAGAAGAAGGGAGGGAAAGAGGGGGGGAGGGAAGGAGAGAAGGAGAGAAGAAAAAAGGAAGGAAGGAAGGAAGGAAGGAAGGAAGGAAGGAAGGAGAGGAGGGATGGAAGGAAGGAAGGAAGGAAGGAAGGAAGGAAGGAAGGAAGGAAGGAAGGAAGGAAGGAAGGAAGGAAGGAGAGAGGGAAGGAGAGGAGGGATGGAAGGAAGGAAGGAAGGAAGGAAGGAAGGAAGGAAGGAAGGAAGGGAGGGAGGGAGGGAGGGAGGAAAAGAAAAGAGAAGAGAAAAGAAAAGAATAAAAAAGAGGAAGGAGAAAAAAGATTTAAAGAAAAAAGTTATAGAAACTGTGCCAATCAAGATAGAATTCTGGCACCACTTGCCCACTGGCCAATACACACAGGTTTACAAGCCCGTCTCAACTCTAAGCAGCCACAGAGGCCCGAGAGATGCGCCTGTGTAGGTCTGGCAGCCACTGCCCTGCCCCAGCTCGCCAGCCTGCTCGGCCCCTCGGCTCCCACCCACGCCGAACTCCAGACTAACTTCCACACACACCTTGTCTCGGCCGCCTGAGCCATCTGCCGAGCTGTCTCCCTGCTCCCATCCAACCCCCAAATTATCTTAAATCCCACCTCTTAGAAGACGGACTTGTGTCCATAATGATAAAAGCCTCAGAGCTAGAAATACAAGAATGGTGAAGCTTTACATAAAATACTTCAAATTTCAACTCTTTCAGTAAACATGAGAAATCAGCAAATATTGTTGTCCCCATTTTACAAGTGAGAAAATTAAAGCTCAGAAATGTTAAGTAGATTATGCATATCATTTAGATAGAAAAGATGAGACTCAGTTCAAACATGGGCGCTGTAGCCCCTGCTGATATAAATTATTTCTTAAAAGGAAAAAAATTCACTGTGAAATTCAATTTCTGGACCTAAAATGATATAAATAAGACGGTGCAAGTGTCCTGCGAGTGCATAACAAATATTAAACTTATTCATCTACATAATTAACTGACTATATACAAGAGTAAACCAGAAGCAGGAAACTACTTTCCAGGGGTGAAGAGTTTAACCACTCTCTTCTCCCAAACAATGAGGAGTAGTATTTAGTGTTTCAATTTGCAAAAACGCCATAAAAATCTTGGCGAATCTCTGGGCAGGTTTGGAAGTAAACAGTAGCCATGGCGGCCAGGGGCTGCCTCTGTGGTGCTCTTCCTCCCTCGCCCGAACCCAAGTAAGAATAACCACAAATTCAACAATGAATGCCCCAAAGAGAAGGCAGCAAAAACTCAACCATTTTCAGCAAAGTCGTTTTCATTAAACTTTCAGGCTTTCAAGGCATAGTCACAGGTGTTTTGTCAACGTCAGTTCATGGATGAAATTGCAGAGCTAGCAATTAAGTGAGGTCCCACATCTGTGGCTACAGCACGTCTCTACTTCCTTTCTTCAAGCTTTCTGCTGTACTGACCACTGCTTTAATCTTTCTCTTGGTCAAAGGAAGATGCTTCATTTTTTTCTTCCAGCTTGAGATTAACTGACACTTTGGAGTTCCTGTAGAGCTCACTCTGCATAGTCATAGCTATAGAAGGGCGTGACCTAAAGTAATGCAACATCCTGAGATCTCTTTCCAAGCCAGAATCCTTCTGCTGTCTAGACCATCTGCCAATCTCGTGTCCCTGAAGACCTTTGAGTGAGTCTGAAGATGCTATAAAATGATGGCGTTGTCCCACATCGCTACCTACAACATGAACCACTTATGCACATGGAAGTGTCCACAGTTCTGACAACAACAAGACCACCAAGGTGTCCGTGACATCACTTGGCTCGTCTCACTTGGTCACGTGACATATTTTAGGTCCAAAGTCATATTTACATCACGTCAGATCTTATTGCTCTTTGGCAAATTATAGAGATCAGAAGCACAAATAGATTTAATGGAGAGAAAATTCCATAAAATAGAGCAAAATATAAAGATTAAATGGGACAGAGCAAGACTTCTGGCATAGTGAAAAAAGAAAGAAACTAGGCCAAAAATATGTTCATGTCCATAAATAGTACTTACAATAGCAAAGTCCCCAAAGAGATTTTAATGTCCAGTAATGACCAAGTATTTGATTTGCCTATGGTTTCATATATTCAATATTTTAATCAGTAAAAAAATCATCATTAGAAACACTTAGAGCCCCCTGCATAACTAAGAGATCACAAAATTACTTATGCACCAAAATATAAATAGCACTCATTATTCAAACATTCCACTCACTACACTAACAACTCTACATGGGTTTATTTATTAAATCCTCTTGAGAATGCTTTCACATATGGGTTATTAATGCACACATTACTCAAGCAACTTGTCTAGGTCACCATGCTAGGAAGTGGCACAATCAGAATTTGAATTGTAGCCAACCAACCTCTCAGTTTGAACTATAGCCAATCAACCAACTATGTTGGCGCCATTAGGCTTCATTACCTTTCTGATAGTATCTGTAGTATCCCGGCATGATGATTCAGCGACATGGATAAGTACTAGAAAGAAAACATTCAAAACTAATAGAAATAGATGCGTGTGTCTCGCATGCAGTCATTTCCTCAGGCACTGCACGGAAGAACCCCCAGGCCCCAAGTACCATGAGGTGACCTGGGACTCCCAACACGGCAGAGTCTAGCAACACCATGTCTGTGGCTCTTAGTGCTGACTCCCTGGGCCTTGTGGCCGAGACTCCCTTGGAGGGGGCAAAGGTCTTCTTAGGAATTCTTAGCATACCCTCATCCCCCAGATATTTTGAAGCCTCCCCAAATGTTCTGGAAATATCACTTCCCAAACAAAACTCGAAATATTTGTCTTGATGGCAATTTAGGGATAAACTTTTCTACTCTAATTTTTAGGGGTGGCAGGTTGTTATTTTGTTCTTTGGCTTTTTTGGTCAGACCCAGTGGTGCTCAGGGGTTACTTCTGGCTCTGCGCTCAGAAATTACCCCTGGCGGTGCTTGGGGACCATACAAGATGCTGGGGATTGAACCCACGTCAGTCGCGTGCAAGACAAGTGTTTTGCCTGCTGTCTTATTGCTCTGGTCCCTCTATTCTAATTTTTAAACATTTCAAACTATACACGCCAGGTTGCCTTTATGCAAATAAAGTGGGAGAAGCCCTCCTCCCATCAATTTTCTGTGATTTGTCCTGGTTCCCAAAGTTCTAAGGATAAAAGATTCATGTTTACCAAGAAAATGGAAAGCAAAGGTAGGGCCAAAGTGAACAACCAAGCAATTCCAGCATGTCATGCCGGTACCTCATAGGAGACCCTAGCCAGCAATTGGCAAGCGTAGGTCTCACCTTGAAAATATCTGCGGTGTTGGGAGTAAACAGCTGGTGTCTTCCGGACCCCAAAATAATGGGCCCTGAGCATCTCGTCTCTCCATAGACGTAAAGGAATACCGTGGCTGTGGTACCAGCATTCTCGTGATCTCCAGTGAGAACAGTCACCCTCCAATCTCCTTCTGCAAAGGAAAAACAGAAGCTACAATCCAGTCCACAAGAGAGCCAGGGCTCATTACCACTTACCCAAATGCATTTTTTGTTATTTTCAAAAGTCCCCAATGCACACACTATCTTTTTTTCCCCTTAAATTTTTGTTAGTGAAACACCATAAGGTACAGTTGTAGACTTACAAATTTCTGCGTTTGGGTTTCAGTTATACAATGATCGAGTCCCCATCCCTCCACCAGTGCCCATTCTCCACTACCATGGATCCCAGTATCCCTCCCACCCTCCATCTCCCCTTCCCCCCATCCCACCCTACCTCTGTGGCAGGGCATTCCCTTTTGTTCTCTCTCTCCTTTTGAGTGCTGTGGTTTGCAAAAGAGGCATTGAGTGGCAATCTTGTTCGGACTATAGTCTACTCTCATCACGCATTTCCCATCCTGAGAGGAACCTCCCAACACCCTTTATTTGGTGCTCCCTTCTCTATCTGAGCTGCCTTTTCCCCTAGTGTGTGTGGCTGTCCTCAAAGCCATGGAGTAATCCTCCTGGTACTTATCTCAGCTATTCTTGGGTTTAGTCTCCTATTTTGTTACTTTATATCCCCCAGATGAATGCAATCTTTCTATGTCTATCCCTCTCTTTCTGACTCATTTGCATGATACTTTCCATGTAGTACCACTTGTATGTAAATTTCATGACTTCATCCTTTCTGACAGCTACATAGTATTTCATTGTGTAGATGTACCAAAGCTTCTTTAACCAGTCATCTGTTCTTGGGCACTCAGATTTTTTCCAGATTCTAGCTATTGTAAACAGTGCTGCAATGCACACACTATCTTGTTGTGTTTTTTTTCAGATTTAAAAAATATGGTAAAGACCTCCCACGGCTCAGATCACCTGATCTCTCAGTAACTCCTCCTCAAAGAGATTTCTTTTTAATATATAACTCCACATACATACACTACATGAAGTTTATATATGTGGACACTTTTAAATATCTCTAGCCACTTTAATTAAATGTTCCTTGAGTAAATTTGACATCACAACACATTCGCTAAGCTTGAACGGAACCCTCTGCATCAAAATGCCAAAGGAATAGCATTCAAAGAGGGTGTATTCCCTGCTTCTACCTGGTAGCAACTTCTTTTTATGTGAGAAAGCAAGAAACATGCAAATAGAAAACTGGATGCCTATCAAAAAAACTTTCCAGATATTCTTACAGGAAATCTCCCTCTTATGCTCTGATTCACCACTCAAGGAATTAAAGAATTTTATTCCACTTTTAAAATTATTTATTTCTTCCTCCCAGGATGGGAGAAGCATGCTGAAAGTAGACTATAGACTAAACATGATTGTCACCCATTGCCTCTTTTGCAAACCACAACACCCAATAAGAGAGAGAGAACAAAAGGGAATGCCCTGCCACAGAGGCAGGGTGGGATGGGGGAGATGGGGGTGGGAGGGATACTGGGACCCGTGGTGGTGGAAAATGGGCGCTGGTGGAGGGATGGGTACTTGATCATTATATAACTGAAACCCAAGCACAAAAATTTGTAAGTCTACAACTGTACCTCGTGGCGTTTCACTAATAAAAATTTAAAAATAAAATAAAATAATTTATTTCTTGGCAGTTGTGCCACACCTGGGGTTATTCCTGGCTCTCTGCTCAGGAGAGATCTGGGAGCATTTAGGGGATTGAGCATGGTGCCTGGGATTCAAACCTGGGTTGCAGGGACTATAGTTACACGCAAGGCAAGTTATCCTTGCACGATCTCTCTGGCCCACCATTCCATATTTTAGATCTTCTTTTCTATCTTATCCTAACCTCTTTTTCTGTCATCAAGGACAGCCAAGGGATTTTATATCACATTTCCTTGGAGACATAGAGAAGAATTAGGTGTGCAAGGGCTTTAAAATCTTACTACAATCGAGACAAATAAATGAGCCACTGATCTATAAACAGCTTTGTACATCCACTCGGAATTAGCATGTCACCAGAATAGGAGCCAAGGACGAAACAACTGGTGAAATGTCTTCAGTGGTTGATTTTCCACTGGAGGTGGGGCCGGGGAAAAATAATCTTCTTTTCTACCATTGGAAAACACATAGATATCATGCAATATTTTCTATAAGATAATTTTTAATAAGATCACTTAACCTCATAGAAGAACCAACGTCCTAAAACAAACACACACACAAAAGCCAAACATTTATTTGCAGATGATAACAAAGAAGGAGACTCTGCATTTAGGATTAAACTTTTTACTGTGCTGAGACACAGTTCATTTTTATCAGAGCTAAAAATATGTTGATAGCCCTGTATTGCTTGCTGTATGTGTCGCAGTCATAAGTTTTCTGCTGCATTTCTTAGTGTTTGTTTCACTTTGCTGAAGAATAGAAGAAAATGAGATCAGACATTCTGTCTATCTGTTCCTCTTTTCTCCTCTCCTTCAGCTGCCTTCTTCACCCCGGAGGCATAAAGAAACTGTCACCCATTAACTCTTTCGGAAAATCACTTCTATTATCTTGAAGCTCCCAAAGGAACAAAGAGAATGTCTGGTAATTGAAGTCTAAATATTTATCTTATACTCACCAGCATTTTGAAAGGTTTTTTTCTTTTTGCCAGTCACATGCAAGGTGATCGCCATACTGCTCTACCAAGGCTCCAGTCCCTAAAAAGACTTTTTAAAAGTCTGTTGACCATGCAATAATTCATGGTTGACAATCTACCTTGAACCGTCCGTTTCATTACTCTTGTCAGCTCTCAAATTTAAATTTGGGGAGATACTACAGCACTGACCTCTGTTTGAAAAAGTTCTGCTACAGAAAGAAGAAAACTTTTTGTGGAATCTACATATTGAGGCTTATTTTTCATTTGTGTTGAAACATTTAAAAGTTAACAAGATAGGGGCCAGAGTGATAGTCCAGCATCTGGGGCATTTGCCCACAGGCAACCAACCTAGGTTTGAACCCCAGCACTCTACACGCTACCCCAAGAGTGATGCCTGAGTGCAGAGCCAGGAGTAAACCCTAAACACCACCAGATGTGCCCCCCAAATTAAGAAACAAACAAAAAATTATCTAGGTATATTCTACAACAGCTGGAGAGAAGTTTTAAATAAAAAGTTTTACTTTCGGGCTGGAGAGATAGCACAGCGGGTAGGGCGTTTGCCTTGCACGTGGTGACCGGGTTCGATTCCCAGCATCCCATATGGTCCCCTGAGCACCGCCAGGAGTAACTCCTGAGTGCAGAGCCAGGAGGAACCCCTGTGCATCGCCAGGTGTGACCCAAAAAGCAAAAAAAAAAAAAAGTTTTACTTTTGTGAGCAAAATAATTTACTAGAATTTGCATTTGAAATACACGCTCCCTATTTTATCTTTGTTTGGTAGCTACTGCAACCAGTACATATGCAATTAATTAGAAAATCTTGAGCTGAAGGAAATAGTGCTAACAGAAGCTGATCAATACGTTTGCTAGCTTATTTCTATCTATTAAGAGTGCATATTAGGTACAAGCACTGTGATCTACATCCAACTAGGTACAAGGACTGTGAGCTACATCCAACAGTTCTCTAAAGCACTGTTTGAGGCAAATTATCAAATTAAAATAGACAGAACTTATAGATCTTAACTGATACCATTTGCTAATGATTCACTAGCAAATGACTTACAGGCTAGGCGTTCTATTCATGGAGAGGTCACCCACCAGAGCTTGACAAATCATGGCTCATTAGACAAATCCACCCTGAATATAGGCATGGTTTTGTAATTAAGATTTTATTTATCTGTAGTCACTCCGGCCCCTATCTTGTTAGCTTTTTTTTGTTAGCTTTTTTTTTTTTTGCTTTTTGGGTCACACCTGGTGATGCACAGGGGTTCCTCCTGGCTCTGCACTCAGGAGTTACTCCTGGCGGTGCTCAGGGGACCATATGGGATGCTGGGAATTGAACCCGGGTTGGCTGCGTGCCAGGCAAATGCCCTCCCTGCTGTGCTATCGCTCCAGCCCCCGAAGTTCTGGAATCTTTTTTTTTTTTGCTTTTTGGGTCACCCTGGCCATCCACAGGGGTTCCTCCTGGCTCTGCACTCAGGAGTTACTCCTGGCGGTGCTCAGGGGACCATATGGGATGCTGGGAATCGAACCCGGGTCGGCCGCGTGCAAGGCAAACTCCTTACCCGCTGTGCTATCGCTCCAGCCCCAAATCTTGTTAACTTTTAAATATTTCAACACAGATAAAGACTAAAACTCAATATGTAGTTTTCACAAAAAGTTTTCTTTTTTTTTATAGCAGAACTTTTTCAAACAGAGGTCACTGCTATAATATTCCCCCAAATTTGAAATTTTAAAACACAAAATTTTATGTTTTCGCTTCGGATGCTCACAAGCCACAACAGCCAGGCAAAGGGCCAAAGCAAAGATCACGTGACCAGCAAAGCTTAAAAAGTATAGCACAGGGGCTGGAGCCATAGCACAGCGGGTAGGGCGTTTGCCTTGCACGCGGCTGACCCGGGTTCGATTCCCAGCATCCCATATGGTCCCCCGAGCACGGCTAGGAGTCATTCCTGAGTGCATGAACCAGGAGGAACCCCTGTGCATCGCTGGGTGTGACCCGAAAAGCAAAAAAATAATAATAATAAGTATAGCACAGCATCTGGCTCCTGATTATAAAAGTTTGCTGCCTCCTGCCCTAGATAACTGATATGACTCAAAGTCAGCCTCTGCACTGGGACACACGCTGGTTCCGACTTCAGCAAAGCATGGAGAGCTATTAACCCCCATTGAGTTCCCAGCTTATGTCACACTTTTCAGTTTTGCCTCCACGAATCCATAAATATCAGGTCTGTTTCACAAGGCAGCCTGAACAGACAGAGCTATTTTGCTGTGCCAGATCTGCCTTATTTAAAGATGGCCTCACTGATATCTCTCCACCCACACACACACACGCTTTTGCAAAGTGATGGCTTTTCTGTTCTAGAAGAAACCAGAGGGTGCAAGAGTCGGGGAACGCGCCTTGCTTGT